CAATTTTAAATATTTCTCTATTTTATGTGTTCTTGGCTCTAAGCATATCTATATTTCATTGATCACATGGCTGCGAGTGCGTCTATCAGCCACTCGCTCACTCCCACTGATTTGGATCAGAATGTCCCTCAAGATTATTCAACTCATGAGAACCACCCGCCAACATCCCAACTTATCAAAGTCAAATCAATTGGAACTGCCAATATTTTAAAGAAGGATAAAAGGCAAAGCTTCCCAAAAGTTAGTTTTGGCAAGGATCGTGATCTCGCCCGCCTACCACTCATTAAAGGTGCACATTCTTACCGTTATTTTGATTTTATTCTGGATTTTGGTTTATTTGTTGCAACTTTTATCTCTTTTCTTAAATTTTTTGTTTACTTTTTACGTCTACGTGCTAGTGCTACATCTGACCTTTTTATCACCCTTGCTAATTGTTACTTTGCTAAGAATGATTGTTTTACTTTTCGCTCACAAAACCTATTTATTATCTCTTTCAGATGCTGACATAGAAGATCGTGAAAATCTTTTCATACAAAAGATTCGTCAGTGCTGCGTAGTATTCGATTTCCTACCGGATCCTCTAAGTGATTTAAAGGGCAAGGACGTAAAACGTGCCGCATTGGACGAGATTATAGATTACCTTATGCATCCTCCCGCCACTCCTGTCTCAGACTCTCTTTCTTCAAATGCTCGAAATTCCTTGACAAATAGCCAGCAGAACCATGGGCAGCCACAGCTGCAACAACAAACGCAGATTTCGCAACAGCCCCAAACAAATATCACTTATTCAGTCTTAACGGAAGCCATATATCCAGAAATTGTTCAACTCGTGGAAGCCAATCTTTTTCGGACACTTCCGCCTCCAAGCAATCCGTCTGGCTTAGAGTTTGATCCAGAAGAAGATGAACCAGCTTTGGAAGCAGCTTGGCCGCATATTCAGGTAATATTTTGTCGATAATATGATATTTACTTAGTGGCTTTTCATCTTAGCTATTCAATTGAATTTTTTGTAATATCTTTTTTGTTGTAATATGAGTCTGTTTTATGTCTGAATTTGCCATTACACTTGACATTTGATCATCTGAAAATCGAATAAATAAGGCTGTCGACTTTAAGATCGAGCAAATGCTTGCTCAGTGACAATCCCACTATAAAATTTGGATGCAATGACGTGATAACCTGTCTTAAGAATCACTTATGTCTAGTAACTGACTGGCACTCACGGTAGTGGGGTAGTGGTAATGTCGGAATTATATGCTGCAGTGTGGGATGCTGATGATGGTGAGGCCGAAACTGCAAGCTATCATAGAGGAAAATTCCTTGTGGGGAGCTATGCTAACTGCAATTCATTGACATTGTGAGGCTTATTCATTTCTTACGAAAATTCTTTATTCCCTTACGTGACCTCTAACAACTAGAGGTATTAATTGATGAATGATCAATTCATCGGGAATTAATTGAAGGCTTAAGTCTGTCATTTATATTTGCAGTA